CTTCTGGCTACACACTTGGGTGGAAGGCTCTAGAAAGTCCAGCAGGTCCAGCACAAGATAGAGGCCTCTGATCACTAACACTACGCAAATTATTCTCAAATAATTGGGAATCAGTTCTGACTTAACAACCTCTCAAGAAATTGTACTAGATATCTTCAGAATCAAGATGGCAGAATAGGGTAAGGACACGTTTAAACAGACGGAGAAATATTAGCCAGTGTGAAGCAGAGAGGGCACATTCCAGAAAATAGCAGAGGACAGAACAACAGAGGGGCACCTGGAGACTGACAGACACAGGAAAGCAGCAGACACAAAGGTGTGGTGTTGCAGTGACCGATACCCCAGAGGCAATGAGCAAACAGTGATCTGAACTCCACCAGCAGCTGGAACTCCACCAGCAACAAGGTGGGAGGGGGTGTTTACTGGGAGCTCAGGAGGTGAACCCAAATAACTGTCTATCCTGCTGGTCTGTTCCATTTGATCAGGAGCAGAGACAGAGCAGCAGCAACCAAACAGGGGGTGTGGGAATAGGGTGGATTTCACAGACCAGTCTGCCTCCTAGAGCTGAATTAGGCACCATTTTGTTTAAGGAGGCGAAGGTTAAGGGGAAGACTGCGCATGCACAGTCCTGGGAGTAAACTCATTTCTGACTCAGTGAACTGCAGCAACGTGGCATCCTACAGGTCCCACCCAAGACAGGTCTGGGTAGCCCTCAGACCTGACGGCCAGCAGACCAAGAACTCTAATAGTGGCACATCAGGTGCCATTTTGTACAGTGTGGTAAAAGTTTTAAGACTGCAAGGGACAACAGTGAGCTGTGCATGTGCTGAGCTCAGTTAGAACTCACTGAGCTCAGTGCATTGCATTGGTCCCACATGAAAATAATAGCAACTATGGCATTGTACAGGTCAAAATAGGTCCATGCGGCCCTCAGACCTAACGGCCAAAAGATTAGCACCACCAACAACCTAGCTATATAGGACACCTGGTGTCTCCCTAATCCTGGGACCTACTTCAACCGGAAGCGGGAGAAAGGTTGTACAGACAACAGTGCAGCCTCAGCACAGTCTCACAGGAGGTGGAGATCATGGTAGAAATTTAACATAAGAAGCCAGACCTGGAACTTGCTGGAGGGAGTGGCACAAGTGATTGCAAACAAAGAGCTGTGTACCAACTACAATAAGTAAACTGAACTGTAGACCTGTGGGTGACAGAGTTTAGAAACCTGTACCAAAGAGAAGAATCTGATAACCAGAAGTACAATGACCAAGAGCAAATAAAAGAAAAAGGCACAATGAATATTACTGAAGAATCCACTGCAAAGGAGCAAAACCCTTTGCCAACCTCAGAGTTCATTGAGAAAGACATTGAGAAAATAGAGGATACAGAATTCAAAAGATTTGTTATAAAACTTCTTATTAACAACGAGAAGCACATAAAGCATGCATCCAAGGATTCAAGAAATATGTCACACAGGAAATGAATCAAATGAAAGCTGATATATCAGAAATGAAGGATACAGTGGAGCAAATTAAAAGTACAGTGGAGAGACTCCAAAATAGAATGAAGGAGGCAGAAAAAAGAATCTCAAAATTAGAAGATATCTCCTGTCACCAGGGGGAAACAAAAAGCTGGAAGCAAAGCTGGATCAGGCAAAAAAAAAAAAAAAAAAGTATTCAAGAATTGAAAGGCACTATTAAGAGGCCAAATATAAGAGTTATGGGAGTCTCCGAAGGTGCAGAAAGAGGAGCTCGGTATGCAATTTTATTTAATGAAATAATGAGGGAAAATTTCCCTAATCTAGAGAAAGAATTGAGAAACAACATCCAGGAGGGGCACAGAACTCCCAACAGGCTTGACCAAAAGCGATCTTCACCAAGACACGTGATAATCAAGCTCTCTTCAATCGAACATAAGGGAAAGATCCTTAAATGTGCACATGAAAAAAACCAATTGACATATAAAGGAATGCCAATTAAACTCACAGGAAACTCTGCAGGCCAGAAGAGAATGAAGTGACATATTCCAGATTCTAAAAGCAAAAAATTGTCAGTCCAGGATAATGTACCCAGCAAAACTTTCCTTTGTCCTTAAAAATGGAATAAAATTCTTCCACAATAAAGAAAAGTGAAAAGAATTTGCCTCTTCCAGACCTGCCCTATAAAGGATGCTTAAAGATGTTCTCTTGACAGAGAAAAGGAATAGCGCCCACCCACCAAAACCAAAGGCAAATGCGAAGAACATCCCAGTAAAATAACAGAAGATTAAATCAACAAACAATCTATTCCTGAAATGACAGAACCAAATTATCACCTGTTTGTATTAATCCTGAATGTAAACGGCTTAAACTCATCAATCAAATATCATAGATGAACAGACTGGATTAAAAATACGACCCAACTTTTTGTTGCCTACAGGAGACACATCTCACCAACAATGAATTTTGATTTTTTTGTTGTTGTCAGTTTCATCTCTTCCAAACACTTTCTTCTGATTAAATTCTTCAATGACTCATAGATCATACAGAACCATCATTTTCTTCAAGAAGATTCTTGATTTTCTTTTTCATTTCTTCAGTGACACATTAGTCATTCAGTAGCATATCATTTAACTTCATGGTGCTGTTCATTTGTTTTGTTTTTTTTCTTCCTGTTGTTTTTTCTGTTCTGGGGCTTTTCTTTTAAGGGGATGTACAGTAACTGTGTGACGGAGACCATCATATCTAGCAGCATGTTATTTAACTTCATGGCTTTGTAAAGTTCTATTTTTCTTCCTGTTTTTAATTTTGTATTGTGGTTTTTCATTTAAGGGGATGTACAGTAACTGTGAAATGGAGACCATCATATCCAGATGTGAGGATACAATGCAGTATGCATCTCTACTTCCAGACAAAGATGGACTCCCAATGAAACTGTTAACTATGTCTCAACAATAGGATGCTGTCTCAGCCATTGTCCCTGCCCGTAATGATGGACATATGACTGTGTAAGAAGAGCTATACTATATTAATGATACAGCGGAACTCAGTGAGTGGGGGGGAATTAGGGAGGAGATAAGGGAAATCCCAGGGCCTATGAAACTGTATCATAAAATGAAAATAATAAAAAGAAGTTAAAAATATATGTATATATAAAAGAAAGAAATTGTACTAGGTATCTTCAAAGGGCTCATAGCTCTGTATATATAAAAGCTATTCATGAATTTAAATTTTTTGCATGAAAATGCATTTTAATTCCCCACAGACTTTTTGAAGTACTTTTGTATTTTCTGATAGTTGACATGCATACAGTATATATAAAACTGTGGTATTAATTTTCAGAACAGATGTCATAAGGAATTCAATTATAATCCACACATGGTTTTCTAACTGGGGTCAGATAAAACATCACTTCAGTGTCTTTTTATTGACCAGGAAATAATTTCACTTCTTTCATGATATTTAGCATAAAATTATATCTAGTCCCCAGAAACGTTCAACTATCATTGTATTTTACCTGTCATGTTGTAATGTGAACTTATGCAAATAATAGATCTGTACTCATTCATTGACATAATGTTCAGAATAATGAACACTGTGGTGTGTGTTTCATACTTAAAACTACATTGTTTTACCAAATTAAAACACATGTTGCTGAAGGCCTTTTTGCAAGGAAGGCAGGCTTCCAAAACCCTTTCCTACATGAAGAAGAAACACTTTCAAATCTTGTACCATCTCTAGAGCTGCCTAGCCAGCGGTGCCTCTACCACGCCCAAGTGCAAATGTCCCCACATTAACCAGTGACAGCAGAGCTCAAGGCTGAGAAAGAGCTTTCTAGAAGGGCTCAAATTCAACTGTACACACACAAAGGTGTACACTTAACCAGCTGCTATTGTGTCTCTTGAAAACTCCGCTCCCCTGCACCACACCACCTCTTCCCTCCTATGCCTGCGTTTTCTAGGCAGACTAGAACAACCCCACGGACTTGGGAAAGAAGAAACAGGTGTAGGTTACCGGCCAGCAAGAGTTAAATGGCTTGCTGCGGGTTAACTGACAACAAATTTAAGAAAATAATTTCAGTCCTGCTTCTGAGTCTCATACCCTAGTTTCCGAAACTGTTTTCTATGTTGCTAATTCCAAGCGCTTTTCCAACGCTATGCTTAAATATTCTGGCTTTAATCAAATCTCACAGGACGTGGCGTAGAGATAAAACACGAGCAGTCCCTTCTTATTGAATTAATTTGATTTTTGTCTTTGGTGCTCCCAGCCATCAAGTCTGTTGAATAAACCAGTTTTGATTCATAAATAATAGTTCCATTATATCTACTGTGCCACTCGTCAGAGTACCTGAAATTTTAATTCACTTGTTCAGCTAAATTTCATCCTCAGCTCATGGCCATAAAATTCTTTATTGACAAACTTTCAAACCAACTTTGACTCTGAGGTATCTAGTCAACATTTTTCTTGTGTGTGGATATTAGTTTATTGAATAAATGGCATCTGTTTTCCTCCACATCACTGGCAGAGTAGGTATTTCCTTTTGACAGCTTCACAGGATTTATGGGTTTGCATGCTCTGAAGAAAAATAGTACTAAGCAAAAAATTCCAATTCATTACCTCTTAGTACTTAATTAAGTTCATACCCACGGCACACTGGAGGTGAACTCTGAAGTGACCGTGACAGCCGCAGAGCAGCCGGCTATATTATCTCTGAAAGATGGAGAGGATTCTAATTACCCTGACCCCAGTCTTCCATCCGTGATATTCATAAACGCGCCTTCTATTCGGCTTCCTCAGAGTCTCGGACAAAACAATGGCATAGCAGGTGCCACTGGCTCCTCACTGTAGCACCTGCTTCCCAGTGGTTCCAGCAAGTCCATCCAAGGCCCTCAGCCAGAAGGCACGCACCCCTCATCACAGGGCTTTGAGCAAGGGCATGCTTGCAGCTGGGGACCAGAAGCCACAGCCAACCCGTGGGAGTCCCTTGGCCAGGTCAGAAGGAGAGGGGACGGGGAGGGCTCACCTGTCTGGGTTCTGGGTGCACACGTGCATCTGCAGTAGGATCCGCTGCGTGAAGGTCTTGAAGCATTGGCCGCACTTCCACAGGTGCCAGTCACTGAACTCCGAGTGCAGCTGGCTGGTGGAGGTGGGGCTGGCAAGCACTCGCTGGTTCTTCACATTGATCTGGTTAAAGCCCGATTCCATGGGCCCAGACTTGTCCAGCAGCGAGAAGTTCCTGCTGCAGGGAGTCTGCGGGAAGACGACAGAGCGGGGCTGGGAGGCGGCGGGCAGCTTGCTGCTCTTGCTGAATGGCTGCAGCGTGTCCTGTCTGCACATGGCTTCCATGACCGTGGAGGGTACATTCACTAGGAGGACAGCAATGGGTGGACGTCAGTGTCACGAGCCTTACAAATAGCACAGCGGCACACACTGTTCACATTTTAAAAATTTGCTTTTCGGGACTCAACATCCTCAACAGGTGGCTCAAGGAGGGTAAGGCACATTCAATAACATGGCCAAAGCCACAGACGAAGCACTTACCATGTGCTCGGGGTGGTCTTTACCCTAAGGAAGGTCACCTTGGCCTAAAAACATCCATGATGACATAACGAGCCCCACCCTGCACCCTATGTATTTGGAGGGGTGTGATCCAGGTAGGAGACATAACACGGGAGAATAATCAGAAACAGCCCCTGAAGGGTGGTCCTTAACAAAACACAGAAGGGGATTTCTGCCCCCCACACAGACCCAGGCAGCCCGCCCAGCACAGGGGATCAGAACATGGCGGGGAGGAGATGTCTGGCAGGTGACGGGATCGGAAGGGAGATGGGCTCAGTCTGCAGGAGCAGGTTTGGGGCATAGCGGGAACAGGGCTGACCTCAGACGGCACTCAAGGTCCAAACAAATAATCAAATAAATGATCCAGGGCTAGAAGGAGACCCAGAATGTGCCCCAGAGGACAAAGAACAAGGGCAGAGTGGGAGTGGCACAGAGCAATATGTGCACCTTGGGCTGTGGGGTCAGAAAGACCCCAGGGGCAGGTGTTGGCCCAGCAGCAAAGATGCCCAGGTCCTCTAAGAGTCCTTGGTCTGAGGACCAGCCGCACTCCCGACACTACCTCCCTGCTTATTGCAAACCTTGGGAGGCAGCAGATGGTGACTCGGGCACCAGGTGACTTCACCCCCCTGGGAGACCAGCCCGGTCCAACCCCAGCTGCCGCATTTGGGTGAGGAAGGGACCACTTGAAGGAGGCAATCTCTCTCCAGTAAGTAAACAGGATTAAAAAGAAAGATTTGGATACAAGGAATGATTCTGCCTTTTATGAGCCTGTTGATCCCCTAGGGTTTTGGTCTCTGTTTCCCAAAGCAGAATGGTGGTACATGGGTCTAACAATAACAGCAGCACAGCCCCAGGACGGGGGTGGTACACTCAACTCCACTAGGCACGAGGCTTGTGACTACAAACAAGCACCCGAACTGGTCACCTTAAGGGTGGAGAGAGAGAAGGTGCCCACAGCTTCCTATCCTGACACTGGCCTGGGGCTGACACAACAGAAGCAGAGCTCCATGGGCTCACCCCCAAACACCTGCAGTCCCGGGGTGAAGCCAGGAACGCAATCTAAGCCCCTCACATGTGTGGCGGGAACCCCGTTCCTTGAGCCATTACTATAGCCTCCCAGGATGCGGCAGCATTCGCAGGAAGCTGGAAACAGCAGCTGGAGCCGGCAGTGGAGCCCAGGTACTTCGAGAAGGGGTTCAGATGTCATAACCAGCATCCCACCCGCTGGCCAAACACCAACTACTGCGCACATTAAAAGGTCAGGAGGAATGTTCGGCATATGTTGGTGCTTCTTAAATTGAAAAAAAAAAAGCGGCAGCGTCAGAGGTCAGGTACACCCTGTGATCAGAAAAGGCAGAAAAGCAGGGCCACCTGCAGGAAAGTATGGCAGGGAGACCATGTTGCCAAGTATGGCAACACACATGTCATCAACATGCAGTGATGTGGGGGGAGGTCAACCGGAAGTGCCACTGCTGGGAAGAGGGACCCCGTGCCTTTGGGGACAAACGTTAGAAAGACAGCTCCAAGCATGGATGACAGAGCCTGACGGATCAGTCACGCTCCTGGAATGTAACCTGCCCGATCAATTCTCAAAAATGAAGGCCACACAACCTTTACATGAAGACACAGGAATCTGTGGGCCAGGGTGTTTCTGTAAGGTCTGGGATGATTAGTGTGGAATGGTAATGAAGAAAAGCTGACATGTGTGTAGCCAAACCTTTATACAATCATGTAGCTAACCCCTTATAGAATCATCAAGGCCATTTGGGAATCTGAGCTCTTGGTGCCAGTGACAGCACTCAAGCATCAAGATGACATTGCCTGAGATAAGATGCCTCTCCCTTTTATTCTTTTCCTTCCCAAAGCAAACATAATCAGAGTTCCAGCATTGGGAAGGCTTGCACTGTATCTGCTGTTGGCCCAGTCCCTTGCTGTACTTAGGAATAAACTCAAGCTATGGAATGAACATAAACTTGCAATCTAGGGAGGAGAAAAAGGATAGGAAAGCATCATCTTCATCAATGCAATCACATGGCACTTGCACCCAGAGGGCTAGGGTTTTGTGTTTTTTAAAGCAGGAATTTTAGGAAGGACTGCTCTTCCTGCATATAGAATCCTCACTGGCTGTGGCACCTAGCAGAAAGTGGAAGGTGACAAGGAACGAAGTCAGAAAACACATTTTCATTCTGACCCCCTAGAAGACAGCAAGGCCCATCCAAGAGGGCTAAGGAAGATGGACAAACCTCTTCAGGCCACGGAGACATAGATGAACAAGGAGCTGGGACATACACTCAAAGCCTTGAAGATGGAGGGAAGGCAACACAGAGTGGATTCAGAAACTGTGAACCCAGGGCTAACTCCACGGCCCACCCACTCAGTGCACCTGTGTTTACTGAGCACCTGCCGATGCCTGCTGCTGGGCTAGGTACTGCAGAGAGCAAACGAAAGCCACAGTCCGCACCCCCACGGCCCTTCCACCTCCAAGGGAAAATGAGTGATGCTTTCAGAAAAGCACTGATTCATTTTCACCAAACCTAAAATCCTCTCCGTGGAGTTGTTACCAGTGCAATCATCGTAAGACACCCGAAGTTTCCCAATGATTAAACTGTGACAAGTCGAGGCCCCCACGTGGCTAAACAGGCTGTTCTCCACGTGCAAACACTGGCTCCACTTCATGTCTTGGCTGATCCACCTTCCATCCAGCTCCCTGCTTGTGGCATGGGAAAGCAATGGATGATGGCCCAAAGCCTTGGGACCCTGCACCTATGTGGAGACCTGGAGGACACTCCAGGCTCCTGGCTTCAGATCGTCTCAGCTCCCACCCTTGTAATCACTTGGGGAATGAACGAACAAATGGTGACGTGCACCGTAAGAACAAAACACGGAGTGGCAGGAAAGCAGAGAGGACCACAAACAGTCCATGGAAAACGGAATAAAAAACAAGTTTATTTAGTTGTGAAAAGAAAAGTCGGGACCCAGGCGTAATTTTATTTTAAAGACCCAGCATGTATTAGGGACTATTGCCCTTGGGATCCTAGGGAACCTGCGTGCTGAAGGACGCAGGCAGTGTCAGTGCAAGCCAAGGAGACGCCATGCAAGGCCTGCAACACCCCGACCCCGGGGGAAGCAGCTCTGGACCCGTCAAGCACTGGGCGAAGGCCAGTGTGTCCAGAAAAGGGAGGTGGAGCAGAGCTTGGAGCTGCACAGGGGCAGGAAACGCAATGCGCCAGGCTGATCGCAGCTGTGTTGTTATTCAGACAGGGAGGCTGGACTGGCAGCAAAATGAATTGGGCATGGCCAGTCCAGAGATGCATTCTTATTTTGCAAAACACTCGCAGGCCATGCAAAATGTGTCTCAGGATTTATGAAGCCCATAGGCCTTCATATGAAATAATTTTTTTTTTTTGGAAGATTTGTTTGCTTGCTTGCTTATTTGGAGAGACAGACAGGGACACAGAGAGGCAGAGTTATCTTCACCCACGGTGAAGATGTGTGCAGCTGTCGAAGCTGGGCCATGCCAAAGCCAGGACACTAGAACTCCAACCGGGTCTCCTATGTGGGAGACAGGAGCCCATGTAACTGGACCATCTGCTGCTGCAGTACCCAGTACATCAGCAGGGAGCAGCACCCTTATGGGATGGAGGCGTTGCAGCTGGTGGTTTAGCCCACAGTGCCACAATGCCAGCCCTAGAACTAAAATTTAGACAGCATCATGGCAGGCCAAAAAAAAAGAAAATTTTTTTTTAACACCAAGACATGGAATGATCAGATATATACTTTAAATGCAACACTTTCTATATGGGTGAAAAGCAACACATAATATTATGTTACTGTTTGTGTAAAAACAGGGAGGGAAGGAGAGCAAGAGTGACCAGAGAAAGGAAGGCAGAATATGCCTCGATGCCGTAATGAGCAGTCATCTCTGGAAGCAAAAGAGCTGCTCCTTGTGACTCAGTGTCTCTTAGGAGGACACAGGGACATCATCGGCCTTTCTGGACTTTGGGCCTTGGGACAGTTCTGTTAACAAAGCCAAAACACCACTAAGACAGGAAATGAGACTCCATGCTGGCTGCCACCATGCAAAGACAGAAGGACCCAGAGCGGAGTCAGCGACCGGCCCAGGCCACAAGGTCAGTGACACAGGTTGGAGTGTGTGGTGGCGGCCGGAAGGACGAAGCAGATTCCAGTTAAGAGATTTTGAGATGCTTACTCTAACTTCCACCTGTGAGTTCAAGCGTGCCAGCCCTGTGGCAAGGGATGGAAGCACCACAGCAGGACCCCCCTACAGGACCCAGGAAGGCAAGTCTCCTGTGACATGGACTCTCCCCATGTTCCTTCTGCTTTCAGCAGGTGCAGCTGCTTCGCATGCAGTCCTCACACCCAGGGCCCAGGATGATGGTTCCTCCTCGGCTGATGGGCTTGAGGGCAGCATCTTTCTAGCTCCCTATTCAGGGCACGACTGCTTCTCTTGCTTTCTGGGGATTTCTGTCCCAGCTGTTGGTATTTGAGACATCTAGAACATGGATTTCTCCATGGCACCCATGCCCAGCCTGGCTCAGACCTCGGCCCCTGCATTGTGTTTTCTGCTGGACCCTGTGCCACGTTCTGAACTGTGTTTACTCAGGGAGGGTCTGCCCTGCTGCACCATGTGGTGCTTCCCTTTGGCGCATGCCCACAGCTGCTCTTGCTGGATGCGGGGATGCTGGGATGGCCCAAAGGTGTGAGGGAAGGGCTGAAAACGAGCTTCCTGCCCATGAGCTCGCCTTCCCCTAGGCAGTGGAGATGGGAGTCACCAAGCAGAGGTGTTCTTTTCTGTCTTCTGTTCTTGGGAGGCGAGAGGCTGGACTGCCATCCCTGCCAACCTCTTCTGCACTCCGCCACCCTGACTCCATGCACTCAGGCAGGCAAAGCTGCAAAAGACCTAGACTCCCAGCGATTTTTTTTTTCATTTCCTCTGAAAGGAGCAAGAAGGCACTGCGGTCTCCACACCCTGCAGGAGCTAATCCCCTCCTGGAAGCAGCTGCACTGCTCCTGGCGGATGCCATCTGTCAACACGGCCGTTTCCTCAACCTCTCACTCCGTGGAGCTCCGTGGTGCGGCTAACTGTGATGTCTTTCAAAGAAAACAGCATGGCAATTGCTCTCAGAACCCATGCACCCGTATGAGGTGCTGGGGGCCTGCCCGGTGGTGCCCACAGTGCCCCTGCTGCCTGCCTCAGCTGAGCACACAGAGCTTGCCCACCACACCCACGCCATAGGAAATGGGTGCTTTGGTGTTGAAAGAGCCCCGAGGAAAACGATGTCTATAAACCAAAGTGCTTGGTCAGAAACCTTCACTAGGCAGCGCCCTACTTTCTTCCGGTCCTACTCCAGGTATCAGATTCAACTGCAAAGAAAGATTGAGCTAAAATCCTTAAGTCCTTGTCTCAGGACCGCTGCAGACTGCGTGTAGGGCACCAGCATTTTCTCAGGTCCATCTTTGATTGCCACAAGCTTCTTTTGAGGGAACCTAATTTACTTCGTGGTAAGCCCAGGGGGATACAGTCTTAGCAGTGTAATCCACTGAAATGATTCAAAGGACCCTGGTCAGGGTGAGACCAGCTGTACAGCTCTCTCTGCCCTTTCACATGGGTGTGCTCTGAAATCACAGAGAATATTCCAGAACAGATTCTGCACAGCCCCATGCCCCTCCATGAATCATGTGGGATGGGACAGGCTGTCCATAAGTAGACCGAGCATGGGCCATCAACCTCACACTATCTGACCACATACTCTGCTGGTATGCGGCATGACAAGTCCCATGACTCTAGGATAGAAGGACTGTCGCCATAAAGCATTTCATTCAATGACATCCTTCCCTTTAAACTGCTCTCAACTCTTGCTAAGACCTCTGAACATGAACTCGAGCACCTGCTCGGTTTTCTTATCGAAGCTCCAGTTTCAAGCTGCTGTGGGAGCTTTGTGAGTCTCCCGCTAAGGATTCTGGGAACTACATGATGTTGCATATGCCCTGGGACAGGGTGATGTATCCCTGAAGCAGCAGCCTCGAGAACATGCCACACAGGTTTGGACCCCAGAGAAGAAAGAAGAACTGAGAAGCAAACCCCGCGTTGTTCCACAAAGCACATTTCCGATGGCCTGAAGGGCCACATGTGAAAACCAGCTGACATCTGGGACACCTGTGGCCAGGTGGTTACGAGCGACACACAGGACCCAAATGCTCCGTCCCATCCTCCCCTTATTCTCTTCCCCAAGGCCACTTTCCCACTGGGCTGGCTCCATCCAAACAACAGCACAGTAAGGTAGAAGCCAGTTGTGGCTGGACTTCCCACTCTGGGGCTCCAACGTCCAGAGTCAGAAATGCATTCCCTAAGCAGCCACGCCCCCATTTCTGCTGCTGCCTCAGAACTCAGTAGAACAGCTTCTTCCTCGTCTTTACACCAAGCCTGACCACCAGCCCACCAGCCCCCCTTTGCTCTCTCCCTCTCTCTCCGTCCATTCCCCATCCTCAGCATCCAATGCATTATAAATGTTGTAGACTTTCAAACCGCAGGCAGAGTCCATCAGTCTGCCCTCTATACATCTACACTAGTGCAACCCAGTGTAGGTGCCACCTCCCTGGATTCCCAGAAGCAATGTCCCAACAGAGCTTGCGCTGCCCCTCTTGGTAAACATAGCTCCCGCCTTCTTCTCTACTGCTATTCTGCACTTCGCAACACTCCTCACCAACTCACAGCCTATTTTCTTACTGATGTAGACTCCAAAACAATATGTCTCCTGTTCCACATTCTTGGGTTTTGTTCCCTGGTATATCTGCAAAACTCCTGGCCCATGACAGGTGCTCAGTAAATATGAATGCAGTGAGTGAATGAGTGGTTGCACCATGTGCTCCATGATGTAGAACCCTGGGCCTTGTAAGTTTATTCCCATTTTCCAACACTCAAACAACGAGGACATCTACAGAGCTCATGGCAGGTGGCAATCGAGAGGAAAAGGAGGACCTCACAACAGTGCTAGAAGGTGAGCCAATGTCAAGGCTTGTGCAAGACCTCCCATCAGCAGACGACTTGGGCTGGCCCTGGTGGTCTTCCACGCAAGGCCTGGACCAAGATTCAGGGGAGGCAGAGCAAGAAGGCTCCGTGTCCACGTCTGCCCCTCATACCAACCACACCTTCACAACCAGCACTTAGACTGCCCCCTAGGAAAACAGCCCCTCCCCACACAGGAGTGCCCCTGCTGGGAAGAAATTTTCCAATGGAAACTTGGGAAGCAAGAGGAATGTACCATTCGTCCAAAGATTCTTTTTTTTTTTTTTTAATTGAGATTGGTTTGGTGTAAAGTAGAAAAAGAAAGCTTGATAGCAGTACTTTTGGAGAATTGTACTTCTGACAAAGCATCTGAATACGGGAAAGAAATATTTGAACATCAGCATTCTGACCAGTGGAATCATCAACATTTTTGTTGGCGCTCACGTACATATATGAGAGAAAGAAAGTGGAGGAAGGAAAACAAAAAAGGAAAATAACATTTTCTTTAAAATGAAATTTTTCTTTCCAGGCACAAAACAGATCTTTCATCTCTAAACTCTCTGCCTAGCATAATATCGAATGATTATTAGTTCACACACGAACGAATGTGCTGACAGGAAAATGTGGCATCCACAAACCCAGTTAAGTGACTCTGACGCCCAGCAGAGCCACCAATCCTGTTTTAAACAACGGACATCGCCATGCAATGGCTTCCAAAGAACTGATAAAATAATCTTTTTTGAAATTTATACAAAATTTTTTACAAAATTCAAAAATGCAGTGGCAGGTTCACACTTGCCTCAGTGTTAATTATTGTTTCTTAGGTAATGGTTGTCATGGTAATGCAGACTGGGCCTACCTATGGTTTTAGCCAAAGCAGGACACGACTTTCCTCGGCTGTGCACCTGACAGTTGGACACCACTCTTCCTTCCTTGCCAGCTTAGAGGGAGGCTCGCACAATGGACTGCAGAGGGCAACACTGGCATTTTCTCATCATTTTGTTTTTCCTACACACTGGCTCCAAGACTAAATTCAGAGCGCAAGTTGTTGTGTGCTGAGCTGCTCTCATAACCCACTGAGGTGCCAGCATCGAACCAGACACACAGCAGGTGCACTGGGAATAGTGGCTGACTTAACTTGCCTGCCACTGATGATTTACAACCCTGGCCAAGGCTTCGAGGTTGAGGATAAGCAAAGAAGGGTGCAAATGACATTGGGGGGCAAGGAAGCAGTGGGACAGGCCTGTGTGTGTCTGCATCAAGTGTCACAGCGAACCACATGTGGGGGGTCTCGATCAACACTTTTTCAAACATTTCTCTTTGAAACAGGTTAAGATGTGAATTCAGAGCTAAAAGAAATTCTTACAGTTTTCATCCTGGGCAATGCATTGTAAGGGGATCCCAAAGAAAGACGTATAGCTGTCATTGTACCACACCAGAAGCTCGGTACCCCTGGGGATATCTATACAGGCTCGGTAGAATATATTCGACCTATTCAAAACAAAAGAAAACCAGCTTAGTCGCACGTAAGACTCATGTGTCCCAATCACATTGTCATTACCCACATAAACTTCTGCCCAGCTCCACCTCAGCAGCTTCTGTTGACAATCAGCATATCACCCCCATCAGACTGTGCCCAGCATCCAGGTACAGCCTGCACACAACACAGAGGATTTCCACCATGTCCCACAGCAGGGCTCTGGCTGAAAACACAGACACTTGGCCCTGGACACAGCAGAAAGACATGAGTGTATTTTTTTAAATAAATATATATAATATATATAACTCACACTGATAAGAAAATCCTTTCTCTTGGCCAATAACAAAGACGTTGGTGCCTGAACTTCCCATGTAAACTCATGCCACTGATTTCTTATTTGGATGAAAAACACTTAATGCATTCTTACACCATGGCAGGGGGAGTTCCCTGATCTGCAATAAAATCAGGCAGCAGGATAAAGGGAAATAAAAATCAGCTTCGTTGCCTTTCTTCAAAAGTTGGGTACAGGACAAGAAGAAAAGGCTCTGCTGTGAAATGGATGGAAACTTGATAAACACAGGAGGAGCACCTGCCTCTGGCTGAGAGATTGCACTCCGAAAAGGCATGGCTGGGGGGACCAGGGGATAAACGCTTGTTACAGCAGCTTTGGTTCCTGGGAAGAAAAATCCACAGATTAAAAAAAAAAAAACATGTGGAGCCTGTGACTGGTTTTCTCAATGAAGAATGGCTACAAATATTAGCCTCAAGTTCAAGATAAAAGTGTTTAGGGTTGGTGGGCCTTAAATTTCCCCTTTCTGCAAGGGAGCGGCTGTAGCAGGGCAATTTGTTCCTTGTACAACAGTGCAGACATCAGGCAAATCCTGCTGCACATTTTTCATGGCGGTGAGATATGCACTTGTCAACATATTTTGTCACCACAAAGTGGCTCTTGGCAATAGGATCATCAAGATCAATAAAAAAGTGCAGATTCTCAATATTTTACTTGCAGCTGCAAAAATTTCATTTATCTTGTTATTTTCCTTACTCGCTGCCGTCCTGTCTCAGGAGGGCACTGCTAGCTAAGCAGAATGTTTGCTCCAACATTCTATGAATATCTGACAAAAACTCCAGCCGGCTGGCTGTCCGGCCCGCGCCACTCTTCTTGCCTCGGCCGCTCCGAGGGCTGTGCATTTTATTAATTCTTTCCACTGCTACATAAAAAAGAAAAAATCAAAATGGGAGCCGAGCTATAAATCACTGGCATCTCCTAACTTGAGAAAAATTGAGTCCACTTTGTGCCTCAGCCTTGTAACATTTCATCTCTCGGTTTGGCGTTCCCTCGTATAAACACAGCGCCCGGCAAATGAATGTGCGAAACCTAAATGACACACTTCGGCGCTGAAAGGGCGCAACTGTTTTCGAGCGATGGGTGGTCTGCCGAGGCGGGGGTGGGCCGGGGAGGGGAGAAAAAAACTGTGTAAGCGTACACCATGCCTTACAAGCAGGCCGCGCTTCCAAAACTCGCAGAAATCTCTGCGTGTTGAGGCACATCAAAGGGATTTTCCCGGTTTCAAATAATATTTCCTTTGTGGTGGGGTGACTCATAAAGATAGCTCCACCGCGTCCCAACGCACTTGAAGCAGGACTCACGCCAACAAACATTATTGTCAGCCTCAAAATAAAAACAAGACGTTCAGCTAAGGGTCAATCAATCAAGGACGCTTTGAAGAGAATTCCACTTAGATATTACAAATCATAACAGAACGAATTTAAACCAGCTGACTCCCTGTGAAGGCGGCGTCCGTGAATAATAAGGAAAAAAAAAAAAACAAAACCAGGCTGGCTCTGCAGGGCCCAACTTTTCTGTCTTGGATGGGGTCACTAGGGAGGGATGCCAGTTCCGAAAATTGTGTTTTTGTCGTTTGTTTTATGGAGATTCAAAGTAATCGAAAACAGATCGGTGAGGCAGGGTAGGCCCGTGGAGAAAGCGGTGTTACAGAATCTGCTCCTCTCAGACGGGCAGCAGATGGCACGCTCAGCCCTCCCAGGAGGGCGCTGTCTTCCCACCTTCAAATCTGCTTCCTAAGCTGGAAGCTAGCTGGGCCCAGCCGTGGCCAGCATGGGCCTGAAGAACAGGCCTGAAACCCGCTCTCCCCAGGGCTCAGGGTCCCCTAAGAGCCCTGGCCATTGCAATGCAGCTGCCACCAAGATAAAAAAATCAAACAGCACACTGCACCATTGCATCTCTAGCACTATTAACAACCAAAAACCGCAGAGCAAACCAAGGTAGTATGTCACATGCTGCTCAAACAGGTTCCTTTGGAACTGGAGACCTACGGAGAGCAAGCCAGATTTGGGCAGCCTTTAACTTATAAGGGGAAGAAATTATTCTTTTATTATTTTTTTTAAAATGGGGGGAGGGGCGAAGAAGGAAAATAGCCAGCGGCAAGACTCCAAGTTGGGGGCCCTCGGCTTTGATGTGTCTGTGGTGCCTAGGAAAGCTAAACAGTCGCTTCTGCCTCTAAGGCGCTCGCGGCTGTTTATGACTGAGCTCACGTATTTACATGGCATATGTTTTCGAGGGATTCTGAGCAAAGAGACTTAGCGGTAGGGCTTTTTTGCTGTCTGATTGGTCCCTGCCTGTTCACCTCCCCTCCAGTCTGTGTGGAAAGGCGGGACCAGCAGGTGCACCTGCCCATGCAGGGGGCTCCTCAGCTCACACCGGAGGACTGCGGGCAGCTCTGCCTGGCTTTGTCACTCTAGGGCGTCGCCTCTCAACATCTTGGGAAGCAGGGGGGCACTCCCTGCCATGTCAAAGGGCCAGACTCTGACACTAGGACGTCTTTGAGGAGGCAGGGGAAGGTCGCCGTGGCTCAGCATCGCTGCTGATCACGACAGCTCAGGAAGGGCAGCCTGAGGTGCTGGGCATTCCGTCTTGAGTCTTGGGTGCAGAGATTCAAGTACTCCCAAGGATACAGCATTGGGTTCCTGGCACCAAATCTCCCGTGCCACATGCATGTGCACCTGCTGAGGAAACCCCTGAGTCTGTGTGTCTGCCATTCTCACCCAGGCCATGGTATGTGGTCAAACAGTGACCAGGAAGTGACCTCATGCTGGGTCAAGGGCAGGGTCTACCTTTTTTTTTTTCCCCCCTGAGTGCTTATGAAATGACTGTTGTAGAAACTGAGATTTTTCCTAACCTAGAAAACAAACAAAAAAACCAAAGTCCTGCCAATCCTTATGCAGCTCCCCCCGCCCCGCTCCCAGCCCTCCCCGACTATGACAAGGGCTAGCAGTAAAGCTGCGTTGGCAGGAGCTGCAGGGCCTGCACTGTGGGAAGCGGTACGCGAGGTATACTTTACCTGTACTGAACTACTGTTAGGTTCTGTTCTCCGCAGTGCCTCGCACATCGGATATACCTCATCCAGCTCGACTTACTAGGCTCCCCACCATCAATAAAGTGCTGAAGTGTCCCATCTTGATCATATATCTGGAGAAGAGGTCAGAAGGTCAAGTAGTTAGAACGAATCATCAGCAATCATTTCCCGGCCTCCCTGGGTGTCTGCAGCGGCGGTCCTGGTGGAGATTTACGGCCCTCGGCTTGGCCGCTGCTTATCGATGCTTGCGGCAACCCAACTGGAATCGCGGGAAAATATGTTTTGGTGATGCAAGTCGATCACGTTTTCCTTATCGAGCCAATCTCCCCTGAATTAAACATGTCTGTGGTCCCTCAAGGATGCGATGGTGGTTCCCAGAGAGCACGTACCCTATCTTGACAGGCTAGCCTGAAGTAACGAGCTGCTGGAAAACACGAGCAAGCTGAAAGGAAAGGCCATGCTGGCGCGGTCCAAACTGCCCGGGACAGGCCCCAAGTCTGCAGCACGCAAGCAGACGTGGGCAGCAGCCCCGCCTGTCCGTCTGTCCGCCTGTCCGGCGAGCTGGGGACACCCGCCAGGAGGCAGTCAGAGCCTCAGGGAGCTTTACAGAACTGGCAAAACAGACTCTAATTTGGGGTGGGGGTAGTCAATGACCTCTCACTTCACAGAAGAAGCAGAAGCTCCACTGCGGGGACCTGAAACCCCAAGGAGTCTTAAGCCAAAAAAATAAATAAATAAGAGAGAGAGAAAGAGAGAGAGAGAGAGAGAGAGACCCTATCCTTCCTGCCTCCATCCCACCCCACACAAAGGGAAAGGGGGGAAGAAAGCTGTTTCCCACGGACTATAGGAGTCCCAGCTGAGGCTGGGCTAAGATTCACCGCTCAGTCTGGACTCCTCCTCGTCTTCATTCCAGACCATGAAATCCACTCCAACCCCGGGCCGGTGACAAGCACGGGACAGAACGCCTCATGCAAAGTGAGAACCGGCCAAGCACACATGTGGCATCTCAGAACCTTCTTCTAAAAAGCGCCTCCCATCTGGGGCACCTCAGGGGGAGTGGTAGCTTCAACAGCACAGCCACAGCAAACCTAGGGGCACCCAGGAAGCAAGGGGGCAGCTGGGCGGCGTTGAGGTCCAGTTCTTGCAGGGGAGCTCAGTGCAGCTGAACCGTCTCATAGCACATCAGCTGGCTGCTTCTGCCCCTAGCAGCTCGGGTGTCCTATCTTCTAGGTTTGCTCTCAAGCCTTCCTACTTTTCCTTCGCCCCCTCCCTCCCCACCTCCCCCGCACCCGGTGGACAAGGAGACCAAGCCTTTCAGATGCCACACGCAGGCCCTGAGGTCAGCTCTTGGTTGAGTGCCTCCACGCTGGGGCCCAAGGGCTTCGTGACGACAGCGTCTTCTTACAGTGAGCAGGCTGGGTTTTCCTTTTTTCCTTCCATGCATTCCTCTCCACCCCAACAAGCAGAAGACAAGCATTAATTTCAGAAAGACAATTGTCAGAGAACTTGCCACTGAGTAAAGACAGAAGGAGGGGTAGTCGGGGGAGGCGGGTCATAGCTGATGTTTAGTTCAGCGGAGACAAAGGAGGCACTTCTGGCTTGTGTCGGAGTGAGTGAGGGCTTATGACTTCGTTAAAGTCCCAGGTTTGGGGAAACGCCAGCAAACGGAAACTTGGCCGGTGGTGGCTATGCCTACTACCTGAGAAGGCCAACACGGACTCTAGCTCGCTCACAGGATTCCACAGCTATTGTGTTGGACTTCCACGGCGTGTCTGTTTTTTAGCAAGCTGGTTAGGACTCCCACTGTTTACAGCCAACCCGACCCTGCGCAAAGCCACTTGATTCCTTTAACCCCACTGCTGATTGTCAAGGGGATAAAAACTGGTCATGATCCAGTTCCTTGCCCCAGCAAACCCACCTCCCGTCATGGATACTGGTAGAAATTCTTAGCAAGTATTTGGAACAAAGTCGCAAACACTGACTAGGCGGTGGCTCACCTGAACGGCAGCCTCAAGCCAGTCCATCCTGAAGAGCCTGTGTCATACTCTGGTCTTAGCAGCCATTTTCCTCACTGAGGAAACATCCGCCCCGTGCCTGCCGGCTGCAGACTGCGGTCCACCAGTAGGAGAAGCAGGTGGCTAGCTCTCAGGGTGCTCCCAAATGCTACGCAGGATGGCTCATGCCACTGGACTGGGCTTCTCCAGCCGCAGCTCGCCCTAGGATACCAGCCTTTCACGCGACATCGATGCCTACTCCGATGCTACAACTTCATCCCCAGCATTGAAGACAACCTTGACACTGTCTTGTCCTGACCGCCCCACCCAACTCCCGCGGAAGGTGCCTCCTAAATGCTTCTCAAGCACATGCACCTGAGCCTCACCCTTGCAGCCCACAAGCTGTCGGCTGCTTGGCTGACCTCCCTACAGCCTCTCCAGACCCCTCCAACATACTTCCTGCCCATAGCCACAGCGACCTTACCAAACATGAACATACATCCCACCTGACCTACCCCCAAAGCAAAGAGTAAAAACTGCATGAATTTGTAAATATCAGCTCATACACAGGAGGGTCCTTCAGAAAGCTCATGGAAAACAGAATTAAAAGTTGATCTTGGTACCAACAAATTAAATCCAGGCCTCAGTGTATTTTCCACCACCCTGGGTCTCCTCTAGGGTGTTTATCACACTAATACAACCAAGACCTCCGGTCCAAATAAAACCACAGGGCTCTTGCGTTTGGCTCAGTTCTCAGAGCTTTCAGGCCTGTGTCATCAAGAGTTAAACACTGAAGAACTGATGCTGTGGCTTAGCAGTGTAAGCCAGCACCCTATGGCATTGCAGTCAGTTTGAGTCCCAGGACTTCTACTTCCAAACCCAGCTCCCTGCTAAAGTGCCTGGGGAAAGTAGCAGAATACAGCCCAAGTGCTTGGGTTCCTGCACCCATGTAGACGAGCAGTGAGAAGAGCCTGATGCCTGGCTTTGGCCCTGGCCCAATCCTGGTTGTCACAGCCACTGGGGCAATGAACCAGTGCAGGGATAGTCTCTCCTTCCCTTTCTATAATTCTGCCTTTTAAAACAATTAGTCTTATTATTTTTTTTTAATTTGTGTCATACCAGGTAAAGCTACCACCCGTGATACCAAAAATCCCACGCACATACCAGCTGCAGATTGGCTGCTACACTTGTGATCCAGCTCCCTGCTACTGTGCCTGGAAGAGCAGCCGAAGATGGCCCAAGCACTTGGTCTCCTACACTCACATGGGAGGCATGGAAGACGCTCCAGGCCTGACTCAGCTTTGATTGTTGCAGCCATTTGAGGAGTGACCAGCAGATGGAAGATCTTTCTCTCCTCTCTCTAACTGCCTTTTAAATAAAGTTATTTAAACTCAGTGTTTCTTAAAATGGCAACTGAGGGGCCACAAGGTTCTAATGCCCGCTGTGTTCATTTGTCTAGTAAGATGCACACAGAACTGAGAGAAAGCAGGATATCCAAACCCGAGGGCTAAGACCACTTCTCAGACAAGCCCTGGGTACAACTCCGTACCCTGTCATTACTCGCCATCATTAGCTTAACTCTGTTACCATTTAAGAGCTTCGCTTAACAAAATAAAAACCACCAGGCTGGACCACAGGCAGAAGGAAGTGCAGGTGCAGGGCCCTGGGCCGGCTTCAGTCTGAGCTTAACAATGGTAAGTTCAGGAAGCTGTTCTCCATTTGAAGGACACTAAAGTAAAGCTTCAAGTTGGACACCTGAGAATCTAAAAAAAAGAAAGAAAGAAAGAAAGAAAAAAGAAAACAAAAGGAATTTAAGGAGATGAACTTACGCCAACACTAAGAGTTATTTTGTTTTTATTACCTTTGAGAGGACTTTAAATAAGCAGAAAAATATTGAAAATCGCAGGCAAAGTGTTTAGCCAACCCCCTCAGGACCTATAAAAATGCAGAAAAGCTCAGAAATATTTTTTGTTCAAATAGTGAGAATGAAGGCAAGAGAGTTAAATTTAGATTAAGATCCATTTTGAGAGAATAATTAAACACAGTGAAGTATTGCCGAAAATCATGCACTTCACTCTGAATGAACTGTACAACAAAGTCTGAGTATTTGCTCCCTTCTCCCTAAGGAAGCTAGACAAATAAGTCTGTACAGCTGGGGACATGCATGCAAAGAAGGTCAAAGCAAAGGGTGCTGTTCTGCACAGAAAATCCTCAAAACGTGGCATATCTGTTCTAGAAAGCTAACTGCAGCCTAACTGAAAAGGAGCACCGAGTGGCACGGGCACCTTGGCAAGGGGTTCAGCAAGAAAGTCAAGAAAAGGTGTATCCCCTGGCCCAGCGACTTCACGTCTAAGCAGTCGCTCCACTGAAACTGATCACGCAGGCCAAGAGACAAGTTCATGGGCACGCATGGCAGCCTTTAACAGGAAACAGTGAGGAATTTCAGAAATGCCAATCGTTGCATGAACAAATAAGTTGTAGCTTATTTATCCCATGAAATAGTGGAATTACATAAAAGGAAAGAGCTAGGCCTGTTCGTACTGAGACACAGTTGTTACACACAGTTTTCATAAGCATACTGGTGATTGAAAAAATCAAGTTGTAGATGATAGCTTGACATTTGTTAAAATTACCAGTACTTTAGTATATTCTATTGTGGCATATATAGTAATAATTAAACATATGCGTACGTTCCTATATAATACCTATTCATTTGTATATAGATTTATATATGACATTTATAAACTGATTCTATAATAGTTATTACTTACATGCTAGCACTTATTCACTTTTTCTGTGGCTTGTATGTAGCCATTTGTCCATTAACTTTTTGCTTTTCCAAACTTTTTTTGATATCAAAGAGAGAAAAATAAGTGGAAAGAAAACCTAGCTCTATTGCTCTGTACTTTGCCCGTGTCATTCAGACGCAGGTGCTGTCACTCATGATTAAAGCTTATGCCCACACCGTCCTCCTGGGAAGTCACTTCCTGTAACATCACTACATGGCCAACCTCAGGTTTCTTCTGTGGTTATTACTTCTGCTATTTTAAAACCATTGCTGGGCCCAGCACGATAGTGTAGTGGTTAAAGTCTTTGTATTGAACACGCCAGGATCCCAC